TGACATTAATTTATAAAAGATTTTTAATGACAATTCCGACAATTTCTACATAAGTTATGATAAGATGGTAATGCTTTGATTAACCTTTCATGGGCGACAAGGGCATGTTATACGTAAAATTACAATAATCGATCTTACTTATGCAGGACACATCCTTCTACAAAATGGAAATTGAAAACCTTACTAAATGCCTAGATATTTTGGTAGAGATTGGACAAAAACTACTATTGTGATCTTGATTAGTCCTTGTCTTCAAATCAATATTGTCGACAAACTGTTCCGGATAGTACCGTAAACAAAATTATTGTTTATACAGAATTGGCTTGGACACAATGTAATTTTATGAAGTTCAATTCTTCTGTATAAATGATTATTTGTATAAGTCCTTTCACAAAGTTGTTAAAAATATCTTATATGGACAAATATAACACAATTTTCCTTCCATATAAGACCTCTACGAGAGATCTGCAATTAATCTTATTGTGTATTTATATATTTGCATATTGATATTATAATATTTGTTGTGCTACAACGCGAGTGACATTTGAATACACCTGGCGACTACCATAAATATTAAATTATGATATAGATCTATGGCCGGCTTTTATAATGTGTACACATTTATATGTATAATTCCATAGAAATAACATATTATAGGTTCATCCGAAAGTGTAGGACGATTTAAAAGTTATGAGGTGTATTACGTCAATCTGACCTAATATTCTTCAAAAAATTTGAGATTAGCATTTTCTTATAAACACAAAGGTATGTACAGAGCGGAAAGGTGATTTTCATAAAATTTTATGACGTTCAATTATCTAATCCGTGCAAGGATCTTGTGCAATCAGGTTTAATTATCAAATTATAGTTTGTTACATTAGCACGTCGTTTTCAACTGCAAGAAGTAAATAATTACGTGCACAAATAATTTACGATCCAGATCTAATATCACGTAGCCTTCAATTGTAGACGCCCCGTAATTTTAACATTTAATAAAGGTTATGTGCATGTACTCGATAATTGCAATTGATGCACTTGTCATAGATGGGTACTTCTGATGAATTTGAGAAAATACTGTTGCAATATCGATGATGCTATGTTCAGGTTTTGATGGTTTACGGCGTACCTGTACAATTATCAAATATTTTTAAACAATTACTATTGTGTATTGGGTAAAACCGCACTTTCTGTTTTAATGGGTCGTTCCTCGCACAATACAAAATATGTGTCCTTGCCAGAAGGCAGTTCTAGTACGATTTGTTTGTTAGTCACCACATTTTTTACAAATCTACCGCCTGTATAATCGGTGTTGCTGAAATGTACGCCATACCATCAATTATATTCTACGCGTTCAGTTGTAAGAATTCTACAATTAGTAAGTGTGACTTCGTCTATTTCTTATAAAATGCAAAGGCTTCAACATTACGCCAGATACATAATATCTTAACATAAAAACACAAACTATTGCAATGTATTGCTTGATTAACTTAATATCATAAATTATGGAACGAATTATATATTGCAATCTCCCACGCTAATTAGAAGTAATGAGACTATGTACATATTCCGGGTACGTTTAATACTTTCAGACCGTCCAATTGTTGAGAATATCGAACTGTATTCATGGTTGATGGCATTCCATAACCATATACGAACACGCAAACGGCGGTTGGTACCTATTGGTTATGTTGTTTAAATTTCATCGATATGCTTGGACTAACTTCTTTTGCTTCACTTCATTGATCTACATACCTCTAAACATCCGTCATCATTGGAATGAGACGGGCAATCTACTTTCGTTATTATGTCCAAATGTCCACAGTCGATTCTTCGTCCATCAGTAAACCTTTATTTCTAAGTCCAGTTCAGTTCAAAGTTGATGTACTTGCAGGTTATCACAAACTCAACACCGACCTACGATCATGAAATGAATACAAATTGTTAGAGGGTACTTTAATTAAGCGTTTTCAACAGAAAATGTGCGTAGGAAGCCTCCAATTTTCGAAAATCTTAATAGAAAATTCGGTTAATTTCGTCGAAATGTGAAGTTATCCCAGCTAGCACCGATATTCTATGAATATTCTTACAACCGCCCCTAAATGAATATAT